GCATCGGGAAGGTTGAGAACCCCTAGTCTAGAGTCCTTATCCACCAAAACCGACCACCACTGAGTTGATTCCAACTCAAAGCCATCCTCTACCCTGTAGTCTCTCTGGGGTTTCCGAGGCGGTAAACCTTCAGGGAAGCAGACGGCCTCATCTTTCTCCCACGGAGCAGCTGGTGGGTTTCCCGAAACAACTCTGAGGTCAGCCGTGACCGGCTGCTCCAATGGCACTGCCAGCTGCTCCTCAGGCACCTCAACCAGGCCCTGGGTCACCGATGGTGAACGCCAGGGAAGCATGCATGGCTTCCAACGTGCTAGGGGAGCCCTTGGAGGGTGGGGCGATTTCTCCTTAGAGAGATCTTAATGAAGGAGGTGGCGTCCCAGCTGGACTCAGGCAGAGCACTGTCACTGTGCCCATGCCATTGGAGGCTGGCAGCAGGCTGCCTGGGTAGAGAAATAGGATTTGAAACTAGAAATGCAGGTTGAGGCATGGCTACAGAAGCTAAGAAAACCACTGAAGACATTTGAGAAAGGCATCAAAAAACAAAGACTTGATCAATGTATCGATTCAGTTAGCCAGCTCCAAATGCTGAAGGCTTTTCAATGCCTTCCCATTGCTCTTAGAACAAACATCCAAACTTTTATCATAACCCGCAAGATCCTGAGAACTGGGTCTCCTCTTTCCTCTGCTGCCCAAACCCAACCCTCAACCATCTTGGCTCCCCAGTCTCTGAAAGCTGCATTCTCTCCCCACTAGATGCCTGCATAGTTCCCTGTTCCCCCATCCCCTTTGCCTCCAAATGAAACTCACTGCCATCAAGTCAATGCCAAGTCCTTGTGACCTTACGGGAGAGAGTAGAACTGACCTCTTCTGAGACGAGCTCTTTATGGGCATGGAAAGCCCCTCTGTCCCGTAGAGCTTCCTCCCGTAGAGCAGCGAGTGGTTTTGAACGGTTGGCCTTGAGGTTACAGCACAATGCTTAACCACTACACCACCAGGGCTCCTTGCTTAGTTGACCCCTAATTGTTCCTCTCCTTCAGAACACAACTGGAGCATTACTTCCTGAGGAAAATGTCCCCTAACTTCCCAATCAATCTGCCACCCTGGCACTCTTATTGCTCCGTCACGGTACTTAGCACGCGTCACTTCAGTTGTGACTCTGTAACAGGTCTCCTTTCCAAGCTGAAAGCTTCTCCCCCCCGCCCCCCGCCCCTGGCTGACATCTGTATCCCCCAAGACCCCACACAGGAAATGCTCAATTAACTGTTGGAAGAGAGGTCAGGATACCAACTAAAACCATTGAGTGGGTGTGTTCAGTGGGGAGGGAGTCTGCAAGTCAGTCATTTTTAAGACTAGAAATCAAATCATGAAGTTCTAGAACCTATCACTCCATCTTCTACTCTTTCAGCTTCTAGAGCTTGTTCAAGGCCAAATTTCAAACCCCAACCTCAAGGGCTTAATTTTTTTAAAGCATCTGTGTTTCCAGTGGGCGTGAGCAAGGAGGGAGGGGCATACCCTTCTCACAAGTACAAATCCGACCCCACTGTGTTTGGGCTCTTTCTCTTAATGTCGGTCAGCACGGCTCACTTGAGGTCCATAAAGCTGCTTGCCGATAACGGAAGGCTAGTTTCAAGTTCTCTTCTGAGAAAGGCCTTGCTTATGCGGTGCTTGTCCGCTGTTTACTCTCCCATGGGATTAGTGTCCCACAAGCTGACCTGAAACAGCAGCTGTGCTGAGCACTTCTGCATGAAGCTACCGAAGGTTCGGTGAAGAGATCGTGTTCCAGACCAACACCAGGTTCCCTTCCCTGTCCTACCAACAGCCAGTCCGTGTTTGGTGGCATACACACAGCCTTCATACAAAGTGGCAACTCCCTGGTTCAGGGTGACGCCTGCGAACATTCTGTCACGCAAGTCCTGGTTCATCACTTAACAGGGGCGCTCCGGTGTTTTACGTACACAGTGGCAGCGAGGGGTGCCTGGCACTCTTCACTGCACTCGTTCATCTCGTCTGCACGAGAAGCCCAGGCTCACGGACTTGCGTCACTGGGAGGCCAACTCAGACAAGGAGTGTGACTTGCTTAAGTTCACAGGGTTGATAAACAGTGGAGTTTGGGGTTCCCCACCAGATCACTTGACTCCTACTCCGTTGGTGCTATGTCTCCCCATCTCTGCAGGTGATTGTGAGACTTTCAGAGAAATGGCTTTAAAAGCAAGTGTTCCGCTGCCAAGCTCCATTCAATGTTAGAATATTAAGCAACGGATTACACAACAGAAAGAAGGAAAGAGAACTTAGTAAGATTTTCAATGTGATAAACTGATTAACAGAGAACACAGCTTCTCTTAAAAGTATTTGTTATACTTCAATTGTTCTCAATTTAAATAATACAATGAACCAATTAACAAATGGACCCAGGGCCTGAATAAATAATCCAAAGATGATAAAGAAGTGGCCATCGGGGACACTCAGATCAAAAGCACATTGCGGTACATCAGGCCCATCAAGATGGCTAAAACCAAAAATGTAGGTCTGCTGGTGAGGATGTGGAGAAACTGGGGCTCGTCTACCCTGCTGGCAGGGGTGTAAGATGATACAGTTGCTGTGGACAAGTCTGGCAGTTTCCTCTACAGCAGCGGTTCTCAAACAATGGGTCTCGACCCCTTTGGGGGTAGAACGACCCTTTCACAGGAGTCGCCTAATACATCCTGTATATCAGATATTTACATTACGATTCATAACAGTACCAAACTTACAGTTATAAAGTAGCAACGAAAATAATTTTATGGTTGGGGGGGGGTCACCACCACATGAGAAACTGTATGAAAGGGTCGCAGCATTAGGAAGGTTGAGAACCACTGTTCTATAGTTTAAACAGTAGTACCCTTGAGACCCATCAATGCCACTCCTAGGTGCATGGCCAAGGCAAGGGAAAACTTAAGTAAAACGTATATCCAAATGCCCAAAGCAGCAGTATTCATGATAGCAAAAAAGTAGAAGCCACCCAAATGTCCACCAACAGACAGATGATAGAGAAAACGTGGCAGAGCCATGCAAAAGGCATGGCAGTGAGACACGCTGCCACACGACGGACCGGGAAAACACCACGCCGAGGGGAAGGAGCCAGCCACGGAAGACCAGCTGTGTGGTACCAACTGTTCAGAAGAAGCAGATCGATAAACAGAAAGCAGACTCGTGGTTGCCTGGGGCTGGGAATTTGCAGGGTGGGTGGGTGGTGGGCCTAGGTCAAACTCACTACCATCGAGGCGCTTCTGACACAGAACTGCCCCGGGGGCACCCAGTCCTTCCAGGAGCAGAAAGCGTCACCTCCCTCCCTCTCTCGAGTGGCTGGTGAGCTCTAACTCTGCTAGCCTGGGGGCGAGCAGCGCAACACCGAGTGTGGGTGGTATAACTCCACGGAGTTGAAGGCTCCTGCTATGGGGAGTAGGCTTTCTCCGAGGTGGTGACAATGTTGGAAAACCGGGACGGCTGCACACCTCTGTGATAGACTAAAAGCCACTGAATTATATCTTTTGAATAAGTCTATTAAGGTATATGAAATTGTTACATAAGTATATTGAATGATGAATCAGAGCTCCATAAAGCATTTTAAGAAAAGGTGTGTCTACGATCACCATAATCTGTATCTGTACTAACCGCCTTGCCTAGTCCATCCTGACTCAGAGCAGCACTATGGGAGAGAGAACTGCTCTTCGGGTTTCCTGAAACTCAAGTTTACAGCCTCATCCTCCTAAGGAGCGACTGGGCGGTTTGAAGTGCTGACCTTGCTGTTAACAGGCCCATACAGAACCCACTGCACAACCCAGGCTGTCTGCATTGCTGGGTGCTTAGGAGAATTACTTCATTGGGCTCAAGTGTAACAACAGATGTGGGGAGGGTGCAGGACCAGGAGGCGTTCACTCTGCTGTATGTACGTAGGGTCACGATGACTTGGAGCTGGCTTGAGGGCACCTAACATCATCATCTAAAGCCACCAACAGGAGAGCTTGCCGTGAGAGGGGGCTGCAGAGCGATTCATGGACCCGCTGCCCAGGCAGGTACTCTAGCAAGAAGTCTAAGCCTCAGCCTTGCTTCCTCCTTCCTTGTCTCTCAAACCCGTTTCATCAGCAGGAAGCAACGGGCTTTGCTCAAGCACTCTGCGGGGACAGGGCGCCGGTTCACATGACAGCATAGAGCCGGGACCGAAGGGTGCTTCATACACATTATTAGCACCTTCAAATTCCCCTCCCTGGAGCACTTGTTAATATCTGTGATAGCGATACGACTGACAAAGCACAGGTGGGGGCAGCCTCCTCTGTCTGCCATGCCTCTGCTGAAGATGACTGAGGTTCTGCGAGAAACCGCAGCAGGGTATGCCGCCACTGCACAACATCATCATTTTATTCAAGCTTGCTCTCGCAACCTGATCCATGAGTCTTTAAAGGTACTTTATTTGATAAAACTCACATCTGTAAGGGATGAAGGGCCCTAGCAGGAAGGCTTGGCCTGGAACACATGGATAGAGCCGGGGAGCCACAAGCCCCTAAAACTGTCGGCAGAGCTCTCGCTTGTGTGTCAGAAAGTGCATCGTTTTGGTGAGAGTTTAATCAGATTTTCAAAGAAGTCTCTGACCCAAGAGAAGTTAAAAAAAATATTTAACTAGAAATAGTCACAAAGTTGTTGAAACATGAATTTGTACAATAAAATAATAACCAACAGCTCCATCTATGGGTAAGTCATTATCACAGAGTAGAAACACTGATGACCCCACAGGCCGGTGCATCTCCCGAATGCATGATCTCAAACTTCAGTGGTCCTCTGGTTGGAATTCATTAACGCTACATCACAGCTTTTCTCGCTTGTTTCTCAGATGTACATGCGAAAAACTGAGGAGACTGTTGATGAGTTCTACTTACAGTACTTCAGCACCAAAAAATTGGGCAGTTAGGCTGATAATATGTGTATATACAGTTCCACATCTGTCAGTCTTAAAATGCTTATTTATAGTGAAATCTATATAAAACCGTTAAAAACTTTTCTATTTACATTTTTTTTAAAAAATGAAAAGTATCGTTTCCTTTGCCACAGCTCGTCAAACTGACCCTACCCGCACCCCCTGACCCTCGTTCTACTCAAGACAAGGCGGTGAGCACAAGTCCCAAACATATTGCTTAACAAACTGCGTCCTAAAAAGGTTAAAGGCTTAAAAACATTACATGTAGGGCTTTAAGTGAGCCTTTTATACAGTTCAAAGGGGTTAAACACAAGTATATAAAAGTTACTTCAAAGTCTCAGTCCAACATAAATGTGCAATTTCAATGTAAGAAAGCATCCCGTGAATGAATCATTTGTTTTCCTTAATATCACCGAACATTTCCTTTGGGCCAGAAAATGTTTCTTTTCCCCGGTTTCACAATGAAACAGTTTTCTCAAGTGTTTTAGAGGGGCGGCGGGGGGAGAGGCGGAGAGAGTCGGCAATCCTGCTTCACAGGCAGTGTGCCAGAAGGAACACGGACAGCCTTGAAATTTTTACACTTCAATAAATAAAAGGCAAAGTGTGCTGTCGAAAGCACGGAGAATCAACACAATAAGTTAGCATACAACTGGCGAGAATGTACAGGCCACCCAAAAAGCACTTTCCACGGTTAGTCATCTGCTTTCCACCATCCAACGAGGATTCTTTAATGCCAGCATTTTCTATGTATTTTAAAAATTATAAACTGAGCAAACGTCAAATGCCAACCTGTCCAACACTTGCAAGGATTTGCAAAAACATAGAAGGTTAAAAAAAAAAGTTCCTGACACACCATTTCAAAGTACAAACTCGTCACATTCTTCTCTTTTGATGTTTTGCTCAGTAGAAACCAACTGGGAAACATTCACAGGAAAAGTCTCTTTCCAGCACAAGACAAACTTTTCCATCGGCCATTGTCCAACAGAAAAAAGAACAAAGTCTTAAGTCACTGTAGATGTGCATTTTTTTTAAGCATTTTTGTTTTTCTTTTTTTTAAAAAAACAGTACATTCTCCCGGGAGTTTATCTTGTTTTAAACGCTGCTCCTGAAGCAATATCTCGTTGCAACGCTGCTGTTTCAGCATCCACAGCCTACTAATGGGCAAAGTGCTCTCTTCAGACATCAAAATACAAGGGTTTCCCTGGGCTCCTGGTAATCACGCAGGTTTTAAAGTGCACTCCTGTGTCCCCAACACTAGGACCGGTCCACGGCACTCTGAGAGGGGCTGGGCTCAGTCCCATCCTCCGTGCTACTGTCTACGTCCTGCTCCATGGCCGTCTCCTCGTCGTCCAGCTGCTGACTGGTGAAGTTGTTGAGCTCCAGGAGCCCGCTGGGCTCGACCACCACGTTGGAGCTGGAGTGACAGGGAATCGCATACTGGGGAATGGCCTGGAACACAAGACACAGGAGAGCAGCTTACCGGAGGAGAGGAACCAGGAAGACGAACCCACACTAAGCGGGAATGGCCCTTTGCTGACAGTGACCGCCCGCTGCCACTGTTCTGCGCCCCTAACAACTGCAAGGAGATGGGAGTTCTCCTTTACAAATGGGGAAAGCAGAGACTGAGGAGCGTGATCAAGGTGACAGAGTGGCTCAGGGGTGCAGCAGGGCTCCTATCCAAGTCTGTACAGATCCAAGGGGCTCTTTTTGTCTGGAGCCTCTGCGACCAGAGGAGGCTGGAGCTGTTGTCTACTGGAGATAGACTTTCAAGGAAATTTCAATTTTATCATTAAGCAAAGTGAAAGAGAATTTTTGTTAAATTTTGCATGTAAACACCTGCAAGTTGAGTAATTAGTTTGCCAATACAACCACGCAAGTCCTTCGTTAACTCTGTGGTGGTTCTGAGGGAAAGTTATTTGATCCCACATAACAATTTTCATTGAAAATGAGAGGAGTGAAAGTAGGCAAGTACAAGAGAGGACAAAACCATCTTTTGAAAAATAAAAGTATCCGTTGACGAAGACATATTCTGGGCATAGTATCTTATCAGATTCTTTTCATTACACAGGTCTTTGTAAACAGCAAATCAGCTCATGTCATATCTTTGCTTAAAACTATAATTAGTTAATATTGTGCATGCTATAAATATCTGACTCCTTACCCTGACCCCAGCCTCTGCCAAAGAGACTTGCACTTTTGCAAGAATTCTTCCCTCTACCTGAGGTACTCTTCCCCCAAGCTTTGCACGGTCAGCTCCGTGTTGTCATCAGTGTCTTGGCTACAGCTCAGAGAAGCCTTCCAAGACCCAAAACCAAACCGACTGGGCTGGCCTTGCTTCCATGACATCCAGAGCCATTTTCTTCCTGGCAGTCCCAGCTCTGTGTTCCAGGGCGGGCTCCACGAGAGCAAGGGCAAGGACACAGAGCTTGACTGTCCTGGTCAGTGCTAGAGGCCCACGGTTTGAAACAGAGTCGGAAAGGCACTTACTGAATGAATGGAACATTTTTAACATTAAAAACTCCAAAGTCAACATCAGCACTTTGCAAATATACCTTGCCAAAATAACATTTGCTGGGGAGGAGCTAGTTTTGATACTATCACGATGCCTAGAACCTGATTCTAGGGGAGGGTTTTTTCATTTGTTCCACTGGAGTGGATCACTGGGAAAACAGAGCATTGTGGGACAAGTACTAGGTGGGGCCAGGAGACATGGATCCTAGTCCCGCTGTGGCTGACTTGCTATGGGCCTCATGGTGAGTCACTGCCCTCCTTTGACTTTAGTGTGATCCTGTGTAAAATAAGGAGAGATGCTTTAAAGATTCTTGTGTGGTTTTAAAATTCTACAAATTCCATATATAGAGGTTCCTTCAGGAAGGGGAAAAAATATATCTCTATCTATATCTTGCTTACTCCTCTAGTCCCCTCACCTAGCGCAGTGCCTGGGGGACTACAACAGATAAACAATGCACGTGGAATGAGTGAAGGGAGGAAGGAACAAGTGAGACATACACTGCCCACGGACAAAGACGCTTTCCACTCAAAGCATTTAATGTTAAACATGCTGAGCTTTAATAGATCATTCTTCAAGGGATTACAGCGCTTTCATACACTTCCTTCACTAAGTAGGTATTTTACTGAATCAGTATTCCAGATCGAAGTCAAGCATAACAAGTCAGATCTGAACTGTGGTAGTCATCTACTCATGATGACTGGTTTTAAAAACAGGAGGGATATTTACTGAGACACTCCCATGTCAGATAGATCACCAGGTGCTTCATAATACATTTTCTTGTTTAATTTCTTGTTTAAAAGTGCTGCTCTGATGCGGCACAGGTGAGCGGATATCAGCAAAAGAGAAATAAAACACAACTTCCAGGGGCTGGTCTGGACCCTGTAATTCTGTAGCCTTGATCAAAATTATACATGATGCCAAATGATTTTTACAATGAAGGGAATGTGAGGTCTAGAATGAGTTACTGTCAATAAATAATTCTGTTTGTCCACTAGCCCGTACTTACCGAGGCAGAAAAGTAAACACAATCAGATCTTTTACTAACCATGATTGAAATAAAAAACCATTTTTATGGTTAATCCCAAAGTAGATATGAAAGATGTCAGAAACATTCCCTTAATCCAGGGCGGATGAGCCCTACAGGACCAGTGGTGTGAGTGGCGAAACAGGGAGGGTAGAGGGAGAGTGGGTAGGAAAGAGGGAACCGATTACAAGGAACTATATGTGACCTCCTCCCTGGGGGACGGACAACAGAAAAGTGGGTGAAGGGAGACGTCGGACAGGGCAAGATATGACAAAATAATAATTTATAAATTATCAAGGGCTCATGAGGGAGGGGGTAGTGAGGAGGGAGGGGAAAATGAGGACCTAATGCCGGGGGCTTAAGTGGAGAGGAAATGTTTTGAGAATGATGAGGGCAATGAATGTACAAATGCGCTTTACACAATTGATGTGTGTATGGATTGTGTGTGTAAGGATTGTGATAAGAGTTGTATGAGCCCCTAATAAAATGATTATAAATGAAAGAAAAAAAAGAAAGAAACATTCCCTTACATGATGCCTCCTAGATGTTCCAGTCAATTACGATCCCACTGTCCTGAGAATCAGGACTTTGGATGAAGAACGAGACTGTGTTTTTGCACAGAAATGGAAATAACGTGCCACAGAAGTGCGATCGGGACATCCCGGGGGTCTGTGAGCAAAAATCAGGGAGGCCAAAGGCTAGACCCAGGAGACTGTCAATCTGACTGACTCACTGAGATGACCCTTTTAAATTCAAGCTCTGGCCCTTGAGTGTCTCTAAGGCATGCTGTGCGACAATAACCGTCACTTTTATAATTCTCTTCCAGAAAATAGGTATTTGTGCATTTACAGGAGGTTTTGAAACAAGTATGTCACATTTTCTCTCAAAAAAAAAAATCTTATGTTTTCATACCGTCTGGGCTTAGAGTGTCTGACTCTTTGCTACCCCACCTCTGCCCCGTCCCAGCAAAGATACCCCAACCCATACCCCCAAGATTTCTGGCTCCCCTAAACCTTACCTGGATGATAATCTCTGCTGGGCTCTCCTCAGCGTTCTTTTGGCCTACATTCTGAATGCGCACGAACTGGCCCGTCGGAGGCACTGCTGGGGCATCGGCTGTCCTTGTCGTGAGGGCGGGGCCCGCTGCAGATGGGCTGGAGCAGGACTCTCTGCATTTCTGTTGCTGGGAAGTAGAATTTGCCATGCCCGCCACCACCACATGCGTGGAAGGCAACGATGCTGCTTCACCAGGGAGCATGCTAGTGGCAAGAACCTTCTTTGGGGCATCCACTACCATATGCTCTACATTAGTGTCAATCTGAGCTTCCATCAAAGACATTTTCAAAATGTCTGACACTGCTGTCTTCTCAGAGGCCTGCATGGGAGACATGCTTGTAATCGGTGATGTCAGCTTAGGTACAGAACTGCCACCAGTTACCTTTGTAACTGTGGGAGGCTGGCGCCCCTCAAAAGTGATCTTTGTAACAGAGGATCCTTGGGTTATAATTGGCTGCTCCACCTGAAAATAAATTGGGGGTGTGTGTTACAGCTACATCTCTTTGAGAAAATCTAATCAAACACCTCAGATGGCGTGGCAAAAGAAACATTCGTGCAGCATGCTAGGATGACATTTCAAAGCTCGGTGTTTGAACTAGGGCGCTGAATGGGAAGTAAATAATTGCTTTCAAGGAAACTAGCAAAAGAGGACTGGGTGGGGAGACCTTTATTCAGCAGGCAAAGTAGGCTCCTAGCAACAAAGCGAGACAAGGCACAGCAGCCTTCTGTTCCTCTGGGATGTACAGCTCTATGCCGTATACCTTCAAAGGGCTTCAAATTATTTCGTACTATATTTGGCTTCTTAAACTAAAAATAAGTAGAGATTCCCTCCGCGCCCCCCGCCCCCACCAAATCTTTTGCTTCAAAATATATTTACATAAGCATATCATATTATAAAAACCAACATCACTGCCACTAAGCTGATTCTAACTCCCAGCAACCCCCTAGAACAGAGAACTCCATATGGTTTCTAACGCTCTAAACCTTTTCAGAAGCCACATCTTTCTTGGACACAGAGGCTGGTGGGTTCGAACTGCCAACCTTTCAGTTAGTAGTTCACAGTTTAACGTATGGTGCCCACCTGGGTTCGTTTATCAGCTGTATTTATAATAAGCATATACACACAGACCACTCCAATGCCCCTGATTTCCCCTAATGTAACTTTTCTTTCCATTCCTTAGGTAAGTCCTCTTTAATCTCAAGGGCAGATTCACTAACTAGAGGGTGATGAAGTGAACTACACAGGACGCCGTCCATGAAGCGCCTGGGGAGACTGCCACTGACTTTGCCTTGCTGCCACAGGGATAAAAGCTGACAAACCCGAAATCAGTATTTTACAGCTAAAACATAAAAAGAACCTAGAGAGCAATTTTCATGAACTACTGTAAATGCTGAAGTGATTCATTAGAACTGGCCGGAAAACCGAGTTGTGCGCTACTATGCTTTCTTTTGCTGCCTATATAACCCCGTGCATGTCCTCCCTAACGGCAGCCTGCTGGTGGGGTACACGAATAGCAGCGTGACAAGGCTTTGGGGTTTCCTCTTGCGGGCAGAAAGCTCTGCTATCATGGTTGGGTCATGCTAGCTTCATTTCTTTCCGAGAAGGGAGAAGTGTAACTTTACCTGGCTTGTCGGCTGTTTCTCTGAGGCTGGGAGCGGCAGTTGGTTCTGAGGGGCTGGGGGCTGCACATAGATTTTTGGTTGACTCGGAGCTTGCTGCAATTTTGGAAGTGGCTGCGCGGTTTTCACTGCAAGCACCTGGACTACAGTCTGCGGGGGCTGTGCCATTAAGGTCGGAAGCTGCCTGTCTTTGGCCACCATGGCATGCTGGGTGTGCTGTACATCTGGCTTGGGCTGTGCTTGTTCTTGTTGAAGTGGGGTGAGTTTCTGGTGCCTGATGGACAGCTGGGGCATTTGCGGGAGTTTGTGCTGGAGCTGCTCTGCCTGCAGGTGGATGGTCTGCTTCTGTTTGGTCTGGAAGCACTGCAGAGTTTTCACCTGCAGCTGAGTCGGTTCCAGCTGGGGCTGGCCAAGCTTCTGCTGTTTGGCTGACTGTGACGGAGTCAGTGCAGAGCGGTAAAAGAGACCTGTCTGGGGGTCTAAAGTGTCCATCTCTTCCACCTCGCCTTCCTCAGTCCCAAGTTCCTCGCTGTGTTTGGTGAAAGCAGTGTGACTGCTTAGCGCCTAAGTAAGAGCGACACAAGGTGAGAATGAGGAAAACACCTAAACTGCCACCTTTATCCCAGACACAAACAGTTCCTTAAACTCGAATCATCCCAAAAATCTCACAAGGAAGATCCTAAAAGACCAAGGAACCTAGAAGGGGCTTTAGATGGTGGCTCTTCTAATTTCAACTCTCACATATTAAGTTCTGCCCAAAACAGCATACTCCAGTCTAGAGGTAAGAGAAATACGGTTGTCCTGCAAACAAGGACAGCACAGACAAGGTGGCGGCTCTCTCTGGAGAACCTACCACAGGCATTCACCATCTCAAGGGCGGGCGGAGGCAGCAACCAAAGGGTGTCTGGAGAAAAGCTGGGGTTCAGAACAGCCCCTTTAGGGTGAGGGATATGGTCAGAGCAGTGCACCCACAGAGGCCCTCCCTACTGGGCGGGGAGCTGGTCCACCACGCTTCCTGCCCCTCGGTCCAGTGAACACACTCTGGGCTCCGCACCCCTGTGCTCAGACACCAGGCCCACAGAGACCTGGGTCCCAGGAGGGTAGGGGACAGGAGCATCCCATCAGCGGAAGGAGATGTTGCCAGGGCTCGGTTAGAACGGTGTTGGGGAGAGGCCTCAGTTGTGAGGGACACGGCTCAGGCTAGCCTGGCTGACCTCTCAGGTGTCTTGAGAAAGGTCACTGTCAGATGAGGGCTAGACTCCAGGCTGAGACTTGCTGGCCAGCTGGATTCCCTCGGTGAGGCAGCAATCCCCTTGCTGTAGGTATAGCTTTACTCTTGAAGCCCTCCCCGGAGGACTTTGCACATACAAGGTTCTTCAATGCAGCCTTGCAGGAGGTGTGTCTACAATCAGGGTCAACTGCTACCAGCTGCGTTATGTGAGCTACGTGCCTTCTATTGATAAGTCGTTCATAAATCTGATATCCAGGATATAATTAGGATTTATATAACTGAAGCAGTACACTTTAGAGTTAGATCTGGGTTTAAATCCTTGCTTTGCTGTCTAGGGCAAGTTACTTAACTTCTGTGAGCATGCGTTTCCTCATCTGGGGGGAAGAGTAGCCCTTCCTTGCAGGATCATAGTGAGAACTTAACAAGTTAAAGTTTATAAAGGTCAGAGCACAGCATCTGACACAAAATCAACTTACAATGCAGCATCTTTTTCTTTCCCCCCTTTACCCTTGTTACCAGGGGTTTCTGTTTTTTATCAGTTGACTCTCTCCTTATTGAATCTCTTCTTTCTTAATTGGTTGCACAGTTAAAGAAATCAAATACCTACTTATTCATAACATTCCCATGAGGATTCACCATAGAAACAAGCAAGTAAGCAAGCAAACAAAAAAGCCCAGCAACAAAGAGGTTGGCAAGCCAAATGCTATTTCCTTTGAAGTGTATTCACCTCAGATAACTAACTTCCATAGGAACAGCATACAGAGAAACAGCAAGTAATTCTGATGTCATTAGCTTCCCCTGGACTGCCTCCTTCTATACTGCGCAGGGCTCACTAATAAGCAAGAACACTTTATTATCTTCAGATGTTAAGACCCTCAATTCATTTCCGTCTTCACAACTCATAAGAGAACTACACAATCGGATTCAGCTATTCCCCTTCTTAAACTACGAGAAGAAACAGACTCTAAAGCTCAGGCATGAGTCCGTGAGGGAGGCCAGAAGGAAGAGGAGGTACAACCTGCTGCATGATGTGAGTGATGGCCCCAGTGGAAGATGCCGGGATGGACTTCACCACCACCGAGGTCTGGGTCGCAGTCTGGGACTGAGCCACGTGCTGAAGCAGGGTCCTCTGGGGCTGAGAGGGCTGTTGGGGCTGGGAACGATGGCTGACTGGAAACAGAGAAAGTAATGATATTTCTCCAGAAATCACCACAGCACTTTAGCTAGTAGTCATTTTAAACAAATGACTATGAGTCTGTATTACAGAGAGCGGGTGGTTTTGTGAACTAGAAAGAAGTCCAGAGTCTGACCACCTACGAGTGTGTTAAGCCTAAGAAAGTCACTTACCTTACCTCAGACTCTGCTTCCTCATCTGTACAATGGGACTAACAGAGCTACAGTAAGGATGAGATGAGGAATGTATGCAAGAGTACGATGAAAACTTATCACATAAAAGGAGGAACAAACTTTTTAAGGTTACATCCTCCTGTGAGTGGTATTCACTTTTTCCAATGATCTTTATCCCATGACAGTAATAAAGCAAAAATCAGCCTCTATAATCAAGTCCTAGACTAGTATGTTTAAGAATATTAAAACAATGCAAGTCCTTAAACTCTTGGTCCTACTTTCAAATATGACATAAAATGAGAAGGATGCATTCTTTTGTATGAAGTGGCACTGTCTTGGCCTCACAATACCTGAAGAGGTCAGAAGTCAGGGTGCGATTACAGAAAGGGAACTGAACCAAGAGTCAGACCCGGATTCTATGGGACTCTGTCCCCAATCAGCCAAGAGAATGTGAAGAGGCTACGTAACATTTATTAACCTCTAAAGCTTTGAAGTTTTGTTTGTTTGTTAAGGGAGTAATAATATTAACAAATTGCTATTTTCCCCCATAAGAGGACCAAATGAAGTAATGAGTTTAAACAACAAAAAACCTCTTTAGATGATAAAGTACTAAAAGAGACGTAAAAATGAATAGGAAAAAAAACCAGTGGCCTTTCATTTCCTCAAATGGAGCTCACGAGATGCCAGGTCTCCGAGAATAATGAACACTACATCAGCTTAGATGCCCATGACTGCTTACTAGCCTCAGTTCCAACTTTTTAAAAGTAGGGATGTGTACCACTTCTTAGTCTAGAGAAATTTAAAATGCCGATAATTGCTGGGAAACCAAGTCTCTCAATCCGAGTAAAGCAAATCTGTACATGAACTACAGATTTTGAGACGATCAAATCCCTCTCACTAACTCTCATGCATCTACAATTTCAAGCTTAGAAAGAAGCACAGTGGGAGGTCCAACAGGCACAAGTGGCCACCGCAGTGTAGAAATGCCATCTGTGGGTCATAAAGTCAGCACTGTACACTATCCAGGGAAACGGAGACCAAGCTTGCTTACTTCTGTGATAGCCATGGATGCTATCTACACTCACAAAGGGATTTCTTCTGTGGGCATATGCCAGCACAGATGAAGCTTATAGGCTAAATTCACTGCAGTGCCTTACTGTGTTTCACAGTACACGTTACATCGACATTTTTAATTAGATGAATTCATAAAAATTTTAGGGCCATATGTGCTCAACCAAAAGGAAGTCAAGATTCACATTAACACAACTATCAAAATCATTTACAGTATGATTAAGATAAAACCTAATTAATACTAATATTAAAAATAAGCATGCAAAGTGATGGAAGTTTGGGTTTTTTTTTAATGGAACCATGGTCAGAAATGCACATTTCAAAGTTAATAAGATTCTGATTAAATGATCAGATTCAATGGAACAATGTTATTGCCCAGATGATTCTATCTAATTACATTAATTTTTTATTAAGATATGAAATGAATTCAATAGAAGAGCAATTAAAACCATTTAAAGAAAATCCTCAGTCAGGATGCTATAAATCTCTTCACAGAGGTCAGGGAGATTAGAAAAAACCAACAGGATAATCCAAGGGGCCAGGACCAGGCAGTTTAGCTTGGAAGAAAAAGCGGTTCAATGTCACTGAACACTGATATGATGGACGAGACTGGTGAAGGTGGTCGTAAAGTAAACATTCAGAAAACAGTGGAAGTGACCTTAACTGGGTAGAAAACCAAACCAAGCTCCTGCCAATGAGTCGATTCTGACTCCCAGCCACCCTTTGCGACAGGGTACAACTGCCCCTGCGGGTTTCTAAGATAACTCTTTATAGGAGTAGAAAGCCCCATCTTCCTTTCGAAGAGTTTTGAACCACTAGCTTTGTGGTGAGCAGTTCAGTGCGTAGCCCACTATGCCACCAGGGGTCCAACTCTAACTGGGGTATATACACACTATAAAATAGTCACTTATTTCTGTAAACAACTTTTTCTTTGTTCTAGTGTCAAAATCCTTGGGTCTGAAAATGGTTCCCACTATTCTCTGGAAAAGAATAAGCTCCTTCCCTCTCACTAAGTGGAGCTTACCTTTCCTCTACCAGATCAGAGCAGAGCGCATCCATTTTTATGGTGTCGCCCCATCCCCAAACAATGGTCTTTCATCTTCATTTATCTACAAATGGATGCACACCGCTTACCTGGAAGGGGAAAAGTAATCTCTGTCCCCTCATCTGAAAAGGATAAGTAAGGGGAGATATCACAGGTCTTTCCATCTGTTTACCATCTGATAATCTACTCTACTCCTAATGGTTAACACTGGTTGACCCAACATACAGGTCTCTGCTTTAATTAGCTTACTATTAAGTATCTTGTTAAAAACACCCTGATGACTTTTCACACACATACCCCAACCTCACCCTTGGGGTCTTTTTAACCCATTAGTCTTAATAATATGTCCTGAAACACTGCCGAAGAATTCCTTTTCCTCTTTGTTATTTATGTCCTTGAAATATTTTTAATTGTTATATTCTCTTTTAATCACTTTTATTAAGCTTAAGGAGTTCTTTACTTAGTGCCTCATAAATCATATCTCCTAACCCCTTAATTATTCATGTTACTAGTCTCTGACCTATTTCAAATCTCGAGGTAATAAAGTGTCAGAAACAGAAAGCAGTATTCCAGATGTGGTCTTACCAGAATATGAGAGAGAAAAGTCTATTATCCTTCCTGTTCCAGTTCTCCATGTGTGCCATCCAAAACTTTCATTAGCATTTTTTGCTGCCAGACCACATTTTAAAGAAATATGTCATTTGTTTTCCACCAGACTGCTCAGTATTTACAGATTTAAGGTTTCCCACCTTTCTACTTACTCTAGAAAAAGAAGGTAGGATTTTGTACCTTCTTTCTTCCTTGACCCATCTGCCCCCAAAGCTTAGAATCCAAATGCATGAAAATACTTCTTCTCACCTGCAAGAAAGCGTATCCTCTCTCTACAATTGTTGCCCTATATTCACAGAGGTTATTTAAAGGCCAGCTTGTAGTTTTATATGACTTGCAACCCTCATAACACCTTACTGATTTTTTTCCTAGTCATTAAAGACAGGGTAAACCCCAAGGACAATATGGATTTACTCTGAGAGTAAACTGGAAATATAAAGAAATAAAGAGAAAAGATAGTTACATACTTTTCCTCATTCTCCCACAAACAATCACCCCATGAAATCCAGAAAGGTAGCTCTCCTGGACACCTACCCGTCGTGATGTACTCAGCAACTAGTTCTGACTCTACCACAGCAACTGATGGACTCTCAGGAGAATGTCTCTTTTCCTGGGCCATCTGAATCGGCACTGCCATCTGACTCAAGTCAATAGTGGGTTGTCTTGGTTTAGATTCCAATTTTTCCTTTACTGCACAAAAAAGTCAGGGGAAAAGTTAACTTTTATTGTAAACAGGTACCCAAACCAGAGTTGTCCATGGGAATACTGAAGCAGTCCTCTGGGGTGCCACCCTGGCGGGTGTGAGGAGGCAGTGAGTGGGGAAGAAGCAGCAGGTCTGCTCGGTGTGGCTGTACCGCGCACAGCAGCCTAGCAGAAGGGGCTTTAAACAAAATGAAACCTAACTACCTAAGACTCGTGGAAGAACTGGCTAAGACTCCCCTGACTCTCACGAGGTTCCCAACCACATTTGTGATCTCCCTGGCATAGATTCTCCTTAGAACAGGTGCTTTACCCTGGTGTTCGTGGTGCACCAGCCTGACGACAAAGGGTGACCAAGCAATACACAGGATGGTTTGCTCTAGGGCAGCTCTACTACCTATACCACAGCACACAGTGGCCAGCTTAAGTTGGCCCAGCAAAAATTCAATATAACCACTAAGGAAATGTTACTATGTCTTCAATGACTCTCTCAAAAAATAAAAATATTTGTTGTTATGGGAAAATGGCCTCTCTGTTTCTACAAAAATGTCTGATGGACTGGTCTGGAATTAAGAATGGTTTCAGTGGAGAGATTTAATTTCTCATTCCTCCTTTTTATTTTGTTATTAATTCATCCCCCACCCCCACCCCCAAAGAAAATTAAGTCCTTCAGTTCCCACCCTCTAGCTGTTAAACATGTGTTAAGATGACATTGACTATAAGGCATTAATGAAAATGGCTGAGTATGTCAAAGACAAGAAGTTGATGAATTCCTAAGGCCAAAATAACACCATTAAAAGGATTAACCAAATACTTAAATTATAAGTCCACTGCATGATCATTCAAATGATCCCCATCAATCATATAATGTTACTAAACCACAGCAATCATTTAAACAAAAAAAGCAAAACTAAACCAAAGGAATGTAAAACTCACCCCACAAGTAGAGAAGACATGGTATTAGGAATCAAAATACACGGAGTCTGACTCAGCTATTAATCAATGGGCAGCTTCTTCAGATCAGAATCCCCTTCTCCATTCAATAAAAGAACTAACTGAGATCATTGCTAAGGTCCCTCAAATACTCAACAATTTCTGACCTATTGTAACAGAAAGATCAGTATAACTAAGAATAGATAGACTGTAGGACAAACCTATAGCTAGAAATACTTATAATAGGATCTTGTTATATGAGGACAGCTCTGCATAGAAGCTCACTCATCCTAAGGGATGAATCTAAAGATAAAATTAAACAAATTAGAACGTTAGCAAGAGGACACTGATGATGTCTTATGACCACAAAACTCCTTAACCAATATCAAGATAGAGGTCAGAAGCCCTTTACTGTGCCTCCTGCTAGTCTTCATTAGAACTGGTAACTGTGCTGAATGTATCCTCTGCTTCAAAGTATGGACCTACTCCTTTCTAGTGCTAAGAGGCAACAGAATGGTCCATTTTAAGCAAGTGGGAAAAACACAGAGAGGACGGGGCTCTGCCATTTTTTTTCCTTCTTTGATTGTAGTCTGTCTGCTCTTCAGTACTCCTTAATGAACTCAGTGCATATCTCAATGAACTGACAAAGAAACAGACTCTACCAATGACTGCAGACAAGTCCAGAGGGGGGAAATGTGCTCAAATAATAACAAAGAAAACACAACAGTGGTAGTATTTTAGACAACTCATCTCTAGAGAAAACATGCTTCATTCAACTGAGCATGTGAATTCATACCTGTTGTCTGTTGGAGTTCTAACAGAGCTTTGATTGTTGAAGTAGCGGACTGTGATTCACTGGATACATCCTGATAAATTATGGTGGGGCTAGTCTCCATTGCAATCTCATGTTCTGACCAATCCTGACGCCGGGAAGCAATTACATGAACTACAGGCTGGGAATCTGTTTTATATTAGTTAAAAAAAAACAAACCCTATAAACAAAGTTTCTCTTTAAAACAAAACAAAACAAAACCAAAAAGAGCAATTTGTTTTTGCTTTACATATGTATTTATTGTAAACGGCATGCCTTATCTCCCCAACAAGACTGTAAGCTCCAGAGAGCATAAAGTCTTTCACTTCTGAATTCACGTAATCAATGGTTCAACTAGGTACCTATTTGCTAGACTCTGTATTTAGCATTGAGGACACAAATCGTTAAAATAATGATCACAGGATTCTCAAGAAGCACACAATCTGGTGGGGGAGACAGACATATAACAGAAACAATTACAATTCAGTGTGATTTTTGCTATAATAAACACTTGTGCATTTGTGTAGTTGGGTGCATGTTGTGTAGAGTAGGAAACAGAACACTGTAGGCATCATCTTTACCCCAGAGCACCTGAAAATGTTTCTGTATTACAGAATGAACCCTCAATCAACACTTATTGGATGGTTGAATCACTGAAAGGAAATCCTATCTATGAACAGCAAGAAAGGGCAGATGACCTAGGAGTGGGATATAATAGGGAAAGTATTTGGAGTTAAAAGTTGAGGGTTACATTCCCAACTCTACCACTACTAACAAGTTGATCCTTTGGGTCCAATTTCATCATTTCCAAAAAGGGAACAGAAAAATTACCTTTCTAACTCATGAGATCTCTGAGGATCAAATGAAGTGACATCTGTAAAAGAGCTTTATAAACTAAAAGCGTTGTTGTTGTTATTATGGCCTGAAATTCTTTCTCAATTCTAAGACTCTTTGTTCATTTCAAAATTAATTATAGCCCTAATTCAAGGCTTCTTATATTTATTATATACAAGTATATTTATTGTATTTATTATATACAAATATAAATATGTATATATAAATACTAAATGCACATCAAATCAAGTAACACATTATTATAGTTTTCCATCTATAAGATAAGTTAGTTAGACTACGCCATCACTAAGTTCCTAAACTCTTTGTCCAAGATACCATACACAGTGCAGTGTGGAGGATATAAATGTAAGCTCCCCCTTTCCAAATTTAGATTGCAACAGGAAAAACATTAAAATCAAACAGACTTCTTAAAAAAAATCAATATACCAAAGATCTGGAATTTTAAATATCCATTAATAAACTATATTTTCCAAAAACACTTTGTATTATACATGACACCCCCAAGGACGTAACATTTCCATTAACCCCCCCACACACACACACACCCAAATGCTTACGACTGAAGCACACTATCTTGCAATAGTAAATGCCATGTGAGATATCTAACAGTTTGTTTTACTCATCCTAAATAGATACACAGAATTTTAAATTTAGGGAACAGACTGTATTAGACAATATCCCCTTTTATATAACTTAAGTTCTCAAATCTAAGAAATCTTCACTTTGATTTAAGTACCTCTAGGTTCGGTGAGAGAGCCTATAAATAAAGAGTAACTTTGCAACCCAACTCTATGAGACACACAGAGAATCCAAGAGAAAACACAGATTGTATTTGTAGTGAGATGAGGTAGAAAGGGATTGGGAAGGGAAGACACATTTCCACAAGGGAGTACCTATCGTCCATCCATCATCCTGTAGTGGGTGGAGCAATTGTGCAACCCTCTTTCTGCCCATACTCAGTGGCACAGCTCATCACCACAATGCACCCCTGTAGCAACCCCACAGCTGTGACAGGAGAGCAGAAATCCAGAGGTAAAATCCATTCCCTACGTGATTCTCCACCCTACTTTTGGCTTACGCTTAATTCCTTTAGAGAAATTTCTACCCATCAAGTCTGATACTGGATTTAAATCGCATAATAACTGGGACACCGGGAGTCTGATCTCACCAGAACTATCTAATTATGCAGTGTGCATCCATCTAGACTTCCCTACCTCTTTTCAGGATGGTGACCTGATGACCTTCATGTGACTTTCCCCACAACTTATTCAACAAACATTCCTGGATACCTGTTACCTGTTAAGTACTTGATATATACAATTCAGTATTACATCCAAAAGCATGCTTCAATATGGAAGAATGTGCCCCATGTCTTAACTATAAAATGTCACTGTCACACTCACCTAGCCTCCTAAGTCCTCTCAGCTAAAGGGCATCTTAAAGTTTGTACAGTGCTAGATCAATTCAAGAAGAAAATCTTATAACAATAGCCCTACCAGCCTGGAGGCACTAGCGAATTCACCGATTTCTAAGACCGTGTCCTTCCACCTCTGCACAGCTAGAAAGGTCTTCCTGTAACTGCTCTCTATGGTCCTAGTGTGCACCCAGGTATCCACAAAGACTAATTATGGTCCCTCTTCACTGCGGCAGTGCTCAAGGTAACTGCACTCAGGGCCTCCCAAACCAACTCATCACCTATCTTTGACTCTCCAAGAGATCTATCCTACTTCCACCAGCCAATCTCCACACAACACGAGCCTCATATGCCTTACTCACCCAAACGATTTCTTCTGAACTGAAGAGTCTATATCCCATCTATGATGTAATATGTACCTGCCCTCTGAAGTATTGTCCTAATGCCCAAGGCCTCCCAGCATTTAACTGCCAGCATCACCCAAATTGCTCTAGGAGCATTAGTTCTGTGAAAGAGTTCTACACTACACATTCTACTCTTTCATTTATCACAATATACATCAGCACATAAGGGCTCTGAAAAGTTCTACAAAGAGCTATGTTTTCTTTAACTTGGGGTTTATTCCCCACCTCCACCCTGACCTACTTGTGCAGTCAAATACAAGGGGGCACCCCGCCCCAAAACTGGAAAAAATCGTAGTTCGCATTTTCCCGCTAGGCAAGCACTAAGTGATTCGCTCTGAGTTCGTGCACCCAGTCGTGTTGCTTGGGAAGGTTCTCTCTAGTCACAGTGAATTTTTTCATAAAAGCAGTTTCTCTCAAACTTTGTTTTTTTGTGATGACTGACTTAAGAGAACAGCATGTGGCTGTGAAATTTTGTTTCCTGCTCGGGAAAAATGCTACAGAAACTTGTGATGTTGAAAACAGCTTACAAGGACAGCACTGTAGGAAAAACTCAAGTGTACAAGTGGTTTTCTCATTTCAAAAAGGGTGAAATGTCAATTGATGATAAACCTCATTCTGGACATCCGTCAACTTCCTAAAAGGATGAAAATGTCAACTCTGTAGTGCATTTGAGTTCATTCCACCAGGCCAGACTGTCAATCAAGCTTTCTACTTAGAGGTTCTGAAAAGATTGCATAACAGTGTGCGATTAAAAAAGGCCTGATTTTGTGCTAGACAAAAGACTGGTTTTGCCACTGTTTTGCCACCATGACAGTGCACCTGCTTGCACAGCCATCTCAGTGTGCCACTTTTTGGCAAAAAAAAACGCAGCATGCCTCTCTTGCTCCACACACCTGACCTTGCTCTGTGTGACTTCTTTTTCTTTCTGCGAATAAAGAGGGACATGAAAAGATAGTGATTTGATAACGTAGAAGAGGAGAAGAATTAAAAAAAGGGGAGGTGCTGTCAGCCAGCCAAACAGATGAGTTTGAAAAATGTTTCCAAGAATGGAATCACATATTTGACAAATGTCTTAAGTGTAATAGAGAGTACTTTGAAGGTGATAAGGTTGTTTTATAAAATAATTCATATACATACTTTTGGGGAGGAAAATTCCATTTGGCCGGGGGTTGGGGGGCGGTACCCCCTCATAGTGTCATCTTAGAAAATAAGTTGTGAGCCTACCCAAAGCAATGTCTTTACAGGATGCATTTTTGTATTTGCCTCATGTCTTACTCGACTTTAAGGCCCTATTCTTGGTTTTCTCTTGTTTTCTTTAACTTTACTTAATATAATCTTATATTTGATTTAAATCTTAAAACTTTAAGAAATAAGGCAGAAACATAGATTTGGTTGTAATCATTAGAAACTGAAGTTGCAGACAGCAAGGTGGGTCTCACACCAGAGGCATCAAGAACTCAATGAGGCTAGCATGTGTGCTGTGGACGTCTTATGACTGCGTCCATCGTTATAAGGACGGGCATGATACATTAGGTGTGGTCACCTAGCTGCCTATCAATATCTACGCAACAGTCCAGGAGTGCAACATGTAAAAGGCCCACCCACAAGGTTCAGGAGAACTCCAGAAAGGAAACATTTGGATTCAGGCAACAAATAGGAATTTATAAGGCAGATGCTTAGGATAGCTAACAGCTCAGGGTTAGCTAGCCTCAGTTTTGTATGTACTACATAGATACAAGTGACTATGACCCATGCCCTTGAGAAGTTCGTAACCTAGTTGAGAGGAAATCAATTACAATAAGCAAACCAAAGAAAGTATAAATGATCAGTGTTAACACAGCAATACTGGGAGCATAATGTGCAGGGAAGGATTAAGCTTCTCAAGGTGATCAAGAAAAGCTTCACAATAAGTTGATGATGAAGGCTTCCATTCCAGCCTATGAGAAGACAGTTCAGGAAAGAGGTATCAGGCCAAACTTCTTTTCCACAGGGATGGGGAATAGAAGGGGGAATTGGGATGCAATCTTAAGGAATCAAATGGAGCCAAGGGATTTCCTTGGCATGAAAGATACTTGTATAGAACCTGTACAGGGTAAGTCATCAGAAAAAGGATCTACACAAGAAAAGGTTGACTCTTTGTTACAGAAGAATGCCAACTATGATATGTAAAAAGGACAGACTTAAGAAAAGAATGGATGCTAAAACTAGTAGACAGATGTTATATTTGCATAGTTGCAAAGCATCTCCTCACAAGTGACTATTGCTTTCTAAGGAAACTATTACACCTTCAGTTGATAATCAAGTCCTGGTTAGTGCTTGGCTATTAACCACAAGGTTGGCAGTTTGAACCCACCAACTGTTCCACGGGAGAAAGATGTGGCAGTTTGTTTCCATGAAGATTTACAGCTGTGGAAGTTCTACTCTACTTACTTTGTCCTACAGGGTCACTGTGAGTCAGAATCAACTCAGTGGCAGTGAACTTGGGGTTTTGTTTTGTTTTAGTTTGTCTTGTTCGGGGGAGGGGGAGGTAGTTCAGTGAGGAGAAAACTGGGAAGCATCTTAGTCAAATGATACAAATTAACATCATCAGTCTCTGGACAAAGTGACAGAATGATAAAATTGGGAAGGAAGCGCATCACCACAAGGAATAGTCTGCATAGTATGGCTTGTATTCTTCAAAATGTCATGATCAAAAAGCAACCGGAAGGCTGAGGGTCTAGTCTACATTAAAAGGGAATTGAGTCATCACAGTTAATGTCGCTAAACTCTGTGTACGACCCTGAGCTCGCTCATGAAGGGAGACGGAAAGAGACCCATAGAGAACATTACTGCAGCGCTTGTGGCTGAATAGGGATCAGGTAACAATCATAAAGAACATCACTGCAGCGCTTATGGCTGAATAGGGATCAGGTAACAATCATAAAGAACATCACTGCAGCGCTTATGGCTGAATAGAGATCAGGTAACAATCATAAAGAACATCACTGCAGCGCTTGTGG